AAGATAGAATTACAGCGCTCAGGATTACCTGTGCTCGCCTCACCTGGTTTACAGGTGAGAGACAGGTGAGGCGTTGGCTGACGAGCAGAGAGCCTCCAAACAGCTTCTAACAAGACTGTTCTCAAAAACAGGTTCAAACATCGACCAATCAGAGGAGAGAGGATCTGACTGCAGGAAAGTCATGTTCAAGGTCACACCTCACCTGTCAGGTAAATTATTCTCTGAACGAAAAAATACTTTATGCAAACTAATTACCTTTAATCAGACAAATCCACTTTATACGTAAACATTCTACCTGAATCAAGAACAACCTCAGGTGTTTTCTCGACAACACCTGTGTCATCTACTGCACAGGAAGTTCACTCACTCTTACCTGAACTCTCACCTGAACACTCACCTGAACTCTCACCTGAACACTCACCTGAACACTCACCTGAACTCTCACCTGAACACTCACCTGAACACTCACCTGAACACTCACATGAACTCTCACCTGAACACTCACCTGAGCTCTCACCTGAACACTCACCTGAACACTCACATGAACACTCACCTGAACACTCACCTGAGCTCTCACCTGAACACTCACCAGTAACAAGACACTTATCTGAAGTCTTTCCTAAACACTTACCTGTAACACATAGACATTCACCTGTACCACCGTATTACCTGAATCACCTGGTTACTCACTTGGCTATAAGGTAATTTGGTCAGTCATCAGGTCCTCATTGCTCTCACCTGATGCTCTCACCTGATGCTCTCACCTGTCTACAAACTAAATTATATGTATTTTTCTCTGTGTAGCTAGACTTTTATTTTGATGAGATGATAGATTTTGTGTTATTTCCCCTTTCAGATTAAAAGCATGTGGATCAGAGCGGGTGTGTCTGCAGCCTGTAAGCATTAATCTGTACTGACAGGTGATAGTGTAAACTGCAGGCAGGTAACGAGTGATTTTAATGGAAGGTAGTGACAGAGGGGGGTGGGGGGGGGATTCAGTCTGGGGGTTTAAAGGTTCATTCTGAGGACAGCGCTGCGCTTCCTGTCCCAACGCGCTCCTGTCAAAACAACATTTATTACTCATACACACCGACACCGTCTCCGTCCCCGTCCAAACACAGGCCCTTTGATCCTCTGCTTGGTTCCCCATCTGAGGCTCCAGACCTGGGAGGGGACGCGGGTCGCTGCTGGAGGGGTCCCTGTGATGTCACATGCACCTTGTGTGTTTATCTAACAGGTAATGTGTGTACTTTGACTGTTAGCCATTAGCATTAGCATTAGCACTTTATCCAAGTGTCAGAAATGATTATCACGATCACTTAGCAACGATCAGATTAATTAATAACGTCTCATGAAGTCACTGGACCTGATCCTCACCTGGACCTGATCCTCACATGGACTTGATCCTCACATGGACCCGAAACTCACCTGGACCTGAAACTCACCTAGACCTGATTCTCACATGGACCAGAACCTACCCAAACCTGACCTGGACCGGCTCTCACCTCGGCATGATCCTCATCTGGACCTGATGCTCTTCTGGACCTGACCCTCACGTGGACCTGACCCTTACCTGGACCTGACCCTCACGTGGACCTGACCCTTACCTGGACCTGACCCTCACGTGGACCTGACCCTCACGTGGACCTGACCCTTACCTGGACCTGACCCTTACCTGGACCTGACCCTCACGTGGACCTGACCCTTACCTGGACCTGACCCTCACGTGGACCTGACCCTTACCTGGACCTGACCCTCACTTGTTCTGTTTGGAGTGGCTCACTTTTTTAATCACTCTTCTTGGTATGAAAGAGCATTTAGAATTAGCATTTCTATTAGCTAATGGTGCTAGTGAATGACATTGTGAGTAGCTCTTCTGATTAGCATCACCGTTACATTTTTGTAATTAGCATAAACATATCAACGTCTAATGAAAATGCTAACGTTACCATTTCCACTCGAAGACTGGATGAAGACTAAACCCAGACGCTGTTGGTGGATTTATCTTGTAGTTTGTCTTTGATTATTTTATAGTTTCTCATAGTTTTATAGTTCCTCTGTGATTAGTGAACAGTGTTTTTTGTAAAGCAGTAAGCTAGCAGTTCAACCTGCTAACCTGTAGAGCGCTCAGGTGTCGGTTCAACTTCTTTAAAGTTTAGATAAAATGATAACCTCATCGGCTCACAAACTGAAGAGTTAAAGCTTTACGTTTCAGACCCTTTCTTCTCTGAAGGCTGAGATGTGTTGGTACACATAAATCCTCTGCTTGAATCCAGGTGTGGAAGCAGGTGTTGAAAGTGGGATAAAAACATGAACATGTGCTGAGATCGAACACGTTCTTCTTCGGCTGATGTTTAAATGACCTTAGAACCACATTCAGATAAATGATCTTTTCTGTGATTTGAATCTTCACTTTGGTTTCTTTATTACGTGAACACTGGACAGAGAACAGAAATGATTCAGGACAACAGTTTGTTTAATGACAAAAACTTTTTGACACTTGAATCCCACAGAAGAGTTCAGTCAGGTAACAAACTGATCCAATAAATAACTCCAAACACCCCGATCAGAACTCCTGCAGCTTTAGGAACTCTTTGGAGAGGATCTAATACTTTACATTGTTATGAGTAAGACCTGGAGGTTTCTGAGTAAGAGAAGTTCTACGATAAAAGAGAGAACATTCGATAAAGAGCTGGTTCTCTCCGAGGTTGTTCAAGGTTTATAACGACCTGACTCAACAGTTTATCCATTCATTCAAAATCATAGTGAGGCATCGTGTGGCTGAAGCTTCAGTCCTGACTCATAGGCTTCATGAGAACTTTATCTCAACCACATCTGAAGACACACCCCTGCTGCTACAGAGACCGTCTACAGACAGGACGCCATGATAAAAACCAAACCTTTAAAGCTGGCTTTGAGTCCTTCTTTTATCTGAGGTCAGATCCAGAAACAGTCAGCATGTGGGTCAGAGTCCTGCGTTTTATAGTTCCCAGAGTGACTCTTCTTCACTTGTTGTCCTGAAGGGAGCGCTACAGGAGTCAGGAGCTGCAGTGTTGGGTAGGATCTTCCTTTGGGATCAGAAAAGTTCTCCAGTAAGAGTCTCAGGGACCAGGTTCAGTTCAGTCTGACTTTAGTCCAACGAGCGCCTCTATGTTTTCACCAAGCAGACCGTGTACGACCAGCTAAAGGAGGCGTCCAATCATAATGCTTAGACATGGTCGTCATGGTGGCAAAGGTGAACATTTTGTGACAATATTTGTGGAAACAGTAGTCTTGGAAACAGTAATCATAGCAACAGCAGTCTTGGTAACAGTAGTCATGGTAAAAGTAGTCTTAGAAACAGTAGTCTTGGAAACAGTAGTCATAGCAACAGTAGTCATGGTAACAGTATTCTTGATAACAGTGTTCGTGGTAATAGTAGTCTTGAAAATAGTAGTCATGGTAACAGCAATGTAGCAGTGCTAGCTCAGTAGTCGTCGTAGCGGTACGTGTTGGGGTAGGTGTAGCGGTAGTCGTAGCCATCAGTCCGCTCTGTTTTAGTCTGCAAGGCTTCAGGCTGAAATGACAGAGACTTGATGACTCCACCTGACTCTTCAGTCACCTTCACCTCTGTAGAGTACGAGGAGGAGGGGGAGTCGTCCAGCAGGGAGGAGCAGCCAGGGAGGCCAGGGGGTTTGGGGGCAGGACAGGACTGGTATGAAGGAAGCGCAGCAGGAGGCTTTGGACAGGGCTGATAGGACACCTGAGAAGATCAGAACAGACAGGTACAGTTAGGTTTAAGTCCCCCCAGGTACAGTTAGGTTTAAGTCCCCCCAGGTACAGTTAGGTCTAAGTCCCCCAAGGTACAGTTAGGTTTAAGTCCCCCCAGGTACAGTTAGGTCTAAGTCCCCCCAGGTACAGTTAGGTCTAAATCCCCCCAGGTACAGTTAGGTCTAAGTCCCCCCAGGTACAGTTAGGTTTCAGTCCCCCCAGGTACAGTTAGGTCTAAGTCCCCCCAGGTACAGTTAGGTTTAAGTCCCCCAGGTACAGTTAGGTCTAAATCCCCCCAGGTACAGTTAGGTCTAAGTCCCCCCAGGTACAGTTAGGTCTAAATCCCCCCAGGTACAGTTAGGTCTAAGTCCCCCCAGGTACAGTAATAGGGCTTCACACTTGCAGAAAACTCTTGAAAAAATTATTTCTTGGGGCGCGCTGGTAGTGCAATGGTTAGGGCGCGCGTCCCATGTATTGCGACTCTCGTCTCGAGCGGTAGGCCCGGGTTCGCTTTCACCCGTGGCCCCTTTCCGCATGTCATTCCCCGATCTCTCTCCCTGGTTTCTGACTCTATCCACTGTCCTCTCTCTCCCTGGTTTCTGACTCTATCCACTGTCCTCTCTCTCCCTGGTTTCTGACTCTATCCACTGTCCTCTCTCTGCATTAAAGGCACGAAAAGCCCAAAATAAATCTTTAAAAAAAAAAATATATATTATTTCTTTATGGACCTCACAGGTGTGTCCTGACTGTCTTCTCTCATCTCATTGGTTCTAAGATGTTCAGGTCAAAGGTCCGCAGAGGGATCCCCTGATGACCTGGACTCACCTTGGTTGTTGTGGTGATGATGGTCTGCAGGGCTGCAGGTGACCCTGGAGCATTGTTGGGGTAACGGCAGGGGTACTCTGTGCTGTAGTAATGGTGGTTGTCTCCATAGGGGGCGGAGGTCTTCAGCAGTTCCTTCCAGCCTGAAGCAGTCTTGGACTGGGGCTCGAAGGAGGAGGAGGAGATAGGAACTGAAGAGGAGTTAGAGGAGGAGGATGGACCCAGGACTGGGGTCACCCTGCACATAAACAAGAATCCAGTTTTAACATGTGCAGTAAATCAATATTTCATGAAAAACTGTGTTCAAATCTGGGTTAACTGTCATAATCTGGTTTAAACTGTCAGGATTTGGTTCAGGATCTGGTTTGGTTTACATGTGAGACGGACCTGGGGTCACAGAAGTCAGAGGTCATGGGATATGAAGGTGAGGTCAGGTATCCCTGGAACTCATAACTGGGTCGGCCCATATATAGCCGTGGATTGGCTGGTTTCTGGAGTGTGGGTGGGGCCTCTCCCAGTGCATTGTGGTTGTAGTATGGCTCTGGGCTCTGGAATGATGGGTAATGCTGGGTGAAGTTTGGCTCAATGAAGGAGATTCTCTCTGATGGGTCAACACAGGAGAGGAGGGCGGGGCCTAGAGCCTAAAACAGTACACAGCAGGTAAACAAATAAACAAACAGTAAAGAACAGAAACATAAACAACAGAAACTGTAGTGAAGTGATGTCACTGACCTGAGGTTCGAGGAGGCGGCGTTTGGGCGTAAACGGCGGCGAGCTGACTCGTCTCTTTACTGTACTTCTTCTGGCTTCAGTCTCAGACTTGGACTCAGGGCGGGGATGGTCGTGGACTCCTTTAGCCTGAGGGACCACAGGTAGGTCAGAATCTGGATCATCTAGATTCAGCTACAGGATCAGACTATCTTTGACCCTGATCATCTGGTTTAAACCGGTTTGACTATTTCAGGGTCTGAATCATGACATGAACCAGATTAGACCTGTTCAGACTGTCCATTGTCTATTTTCAGGATCTGGTTTAGTCTTGTTTAGGCTCCTGGGATGAAGTTAAGACCTGGATCTAAGGGTGCATGCACACTAGGTGATCCGCACTGTGTCCAAGCACACCTGACCCTACACTTCCTTGGTCCTGGCCCGATTTGAAGAGGTATTCTTCAGCACGGTACAGTTCATGCATGAGCACAAACACGGGTACACAACACATGGAAATTAGACTGTTTAGAATTTTAACCCATTAAGGATGTTAGCAAGTTTACGATGATAGCTTATTTAGGATTCTAGTCTTTTCAGGATGCTAGCCTGTTTGGGATGTTAGCCAGTTTGGGATGTTAGCCAGTTTGGGATTTTAGCCAGTTTAGGATGTTAGCCAGTTTAGAATGTTAGCCTGTTTGGAATGTTAGCCTGTTTGGAATGTTAGCCGATTTGGGATGTTAGCCTGTTTGGGATGTTAGCCTGTTTGGGATGTTAGCCAGTTTGGGATGTTAGCCAGTTTGGGATTTTAGCCAGTTTAGGATGTTAGCCAGTTTAGAATGTTAGCCTGTTTAGGATTTTAGCCAGTTTAGGATGTTAGCCAGTTTAGGATGTTAGCCAGTTTGGGATGTTAGCCAGTTTGGGATGTTAGCCAGTTTAGAATGTTAGCCTGTTTGGAATGTTAGCCAGTTTGGAATGTTAGCCAGTTTAGGATGTTAGCCAGTTTAGGATGTTAGCCAGTTTGGAATGTTAGCCTGTTTGGGATGTTAGCCAGTTTAGGATGTTAGCCAGTTTGGAATGTTTGCCAGTTTAGGATGTTAGCCAGTTTGGGATGTTAGCCTGTTTAGAATGTTAGCCAGTTTGGAATGTTAGCCTGTTTGGGATGTTAGCCAGTTTAGGATGTTAGCCAGTTTAGAATGTTAGCCAGTTTAGGATGTTAGCCAGTTTGGAATGTTTGCCAGTTTAGGATGTTAGCCAGTTTGGGATGTTAGCCTGTTTGGAATGTTAGCCAGTTTGGGATGTTAGCCTGTTTGGGATGTTAGCCAGTTTAGGATGTTAGCCAGTTTAGAATGTTAGCCAGTTTGGGATGTTAGCCAGTTTGGGATTTTAGCCAGTTTGGGATGTTAGCCAGTTTGGGATTTTAGCCAGTTTAGGATGTTAGCCAGTTTAGAATGTTAGCCTGTTTGGGATTTTAGCCAGTTTAGGATGTTAGCCAGTTTAGAATGTTAGCCTGTTTAGGATGTTAGCCAGTTTAGGATGTTAGCCAGTTTGGGATGTTAGCCAGTTTAGGATGTTAGCCAGTTTGGAATGTTAGCCAATTTGGAATGTTAGCCTGTTTGGGATGTTAGCCAGTTTGGGATGTTAGCCAGTTTGGGATGTTAGCCAGTTTGGGATGTTTGCCAGTTTAGGATGTTAGCCAGTTTGGGATGTTAGCCTGTTTGGAATGTTAGCCAGTTTGGAATGTTAGCCTGTTTGGGATGTTAGCCTGTTTGGGATGTTAGCCAGTTTAGGATGTTAGCCAGTTTGGGATGTTTGCCAGTTTAGGATGTTAGCCAGTTTAGGATGTTAGCCAGTTTGGAATGTTAGCCTGTTTGGAATGTTAGCCAGTTTAGGATGTTAGCCAGTTTAGGATGTTAGCCAGTTTAGGATGTTAGCCTGTTTGGGATGTTAGCCAGTTTAGGATGTTAGCCAGTTTGGGATGTTAGCCAGTTTAGAATGTTAGCCTGTTTGGGATTTTAGCCAGTTTAGGATGTTAGCCAGTTTGGAATGTTTGCCAGTTTAGGATGTTAGCCAGTTTAGGATGTTAGCCAGTTTAGAATGTTAGCCTGTTTGGGATTTTAGCCAGTTTAGGATGTTAGCCAGTTTGGAATGTTTGCCAGTTTAGGATGTTAGCCAGTTTAGGATGTTAGCCAGTTTAGAATGTTAGCCTGTTTGGGATTTTAG